TATTTATTTCATTAATGTGCCTCTAATTGAGATGGCCGCGAGAGAGAAGAGGGGAAAGAGCGACTGAAAATGGTTGCACGTTATTGACGCACATCATAGGGGCGAGGAGGAAATTCCTCTTGAGATAAGGCGCAGACGTGTCATCTGGGTTGACCAAAGACACTCCCGTCGCCTTTTCTATATCCAGTGGAATATGTTTAGGGATCCTGAAATGCCCTATTTTTATATCCACCCAAAATGTCACACTTTTCAGAGCGTGTGCATAGTGGAAGTAGGTTGACATTGCTGGCTTGTCCTATAATCAGGGCTGTCTTGAAGGGTCCTTAAAGTATCTCTACTTCATTTTTTATTTTATTTATAATTTTTGATACATATGTTCTTCGAATTTTAAAGATCTAAACTACACATTATCTTTAAATAACGCCCGTCTGAGTTGAAAGCAGATATGATCTATGAAAGAAATCTGAAAACTGTATACAGCTTTGTCAAAATTAGTGTTTTTCTTTTGATTATTGTCCACTAGAGTGACTTTTTTGATCAATTACGTTAGCAGAAGGTACCTGTCTAATAAAACAAGCCTCTCCACTAAATTTTTTATCTAGCTACTACTAAAAAAAACTAAACCGCTCTGCTGGAAAAGTAACCCCCCCCCCCACCCCACCCCTACAGGTTGTCTACCTTTTGATGCAAGTTGATGATTTCATATTGCAAACACTCATCAGGAACCTGCTGTACTAATGAATATGAAACACTGGCCCCATGTTACAAAGTGTCTAATGGTTTTGCTTCATTCAGACCTTTTCTCTGCTTGTTGTGTTCAAGTAGTATCCTCCTCCTCCACCACCACCATCAACACCGCCTCCTCCCCATCTTTGTACATACTGTACTGTACTTGAGGGGGCACACACACCCCATCCAGGTGGCTCTTGGGGGAAGAGATTGTATGTGAGGGAGAAAGAGACAGAGAGACGGAGGGAGAGAGAGTAAAAAGGAGAGGAGTGTAGCACCAATCAAGGCTTCTGATTGATATAATTGGGTCATTAGTGCGCTGTGGGAGAGGCACCTGCTTGCCCTCAGTTAGGGAGAATCTACTGCATTGTGACATTTTGAGACTGTTGAGAGTTCTGCTGGCTGCTCGGGATTAGTGTGTATTTAGAGCATTAGGGTCTTACTTAAATAGTACGCCACTTGTGCCATTTGTATTCAGTTTTCAGACCAGTTTTAAAGCAGTTTTTACAGTAGAGATGGACAGGTAGACACTTCACTTTCTCTTCTGTGTATGTTTGGATATATATCACATAATAAGTTTGGAAAGCTAGGCAGGTCACAGCGCATAGTAGGAGGGCCCGCTGTGATTTCAAACAGAGGGTCAAGCAAAAGATATTCCCGCACTGGTCCAGTCACCAGGAGATGGTGAGCGGAGGAAGCCTAAAGGTTAGTCAGAGAGGCTGAATATAATAAGACATCAGTATAATACAAAAGAAGTATCTGTCAGTGTCTGAAACCTCCTTCCTCCCACATCTGTCCGATGTCGGAATAGAGGCTGTATCCAACAATTTCTGCAACTTTTATAAAATAGACAGTCTGACGTCTCACATTCACTTTATGCAGCAACTGGCCAGGTCAGTGGAGGTGTGAAAGTGGCGCAGTTTTTAACTGATCTCGAGCTTCTCTCTCTTCTTTTTATTCTTTACACAACTATTTCTGTTCCTGTGTGTGCGTACAACTGAGTGCAACACTATGAATGCCTTCCAGGGAAGAAATTGTGCACCATTATGCTCATATTTAATAGATTATCACGTCTCCCCCCTCTCTGTGACCCCGCCGTTTGGACCAGCTATAAACACTTTTGCCCTCCAGCGCGGTCAGACAACACATGTTACAAACTAGGTTTTTTTTTTTGAGTTCATCCTCACCTTTAGGCTCAAATCCCCTGACAGAGAAAACAAGTTAACTTCCAACCTCGTAGACATACTGATAAGGTGCTGCTGTGCAGGGTGCATTACCCTGAATTACGCCGTGAGGTGTCGATTTATGTATTGGCACTCCATATATATCAGTTATTAGTTAGTTATATTTAACTGAGTGTGTGTGGAGCAGCGTGTTACTAAGAAAGAGAGCACATGCTCTGCATATTTCCCCTGGGGGGAATAAAGAATCAACCTGTGTTAACAGTTACTATTTTTTCTATAGTAAGGCTCTTGTAGGTGCTCACATGTCTGATATATCTGATACACATATTCCACAAGGAGGTCACAGTGTAAGGTCAGCATCCCTGGGGCTTGTGGGTAGTGGGCGCCTTGCCCAAGGACACTTCAGTGGAGGGGTTCATTTTTTTTCCAATTTGGATCATGATATTCATTATTTGAATGACAGTTTTTAGCACAAATTTTGATTTGTGACAGGGAAAAGAAATCATCAGGTATGCGTTTGTGTCACCTGTGGGATGCATGATTGCTCCCTTCCTTTGCTTCTTTTTCTCGCAGCCCCTGCAGGTGATCTTCACTGTGCACAGATAAGCCTTTTAGGAGGAACACATCCAGTGATTTGCTGGCGACATTTGCATGCTCCAAAGCAATTCTTCTTTTAAGGCTTCAATCTTGTAATCCTGAATCAGACGAGTCAGTCAGCGCCTCCACTCATTGGTTTAGACACAGTACGGCCTGTATGACTTGGAGCGAGAGCCTCGTTTCTCTGCCGAGATGCTGTGATGTTTCCAACGTTCAGATTCACTTGCTCAGATCTGGCACCGCCGCGTCGCTCCCAGTTCAGCGCTCCGCATCTGCGGGGAAGTGTCGGCTCATGTTCTCCGCTGGAGGAGGAATTCATTCAGAAAGAGCAGGAGCAACAGCTTGAGAGGAGATGGAGAGTATAGAGGGAGAGGTAGAGGAGGAGAAATGAAGTGGTTAGGTTAGACGGGAGGAAATGGGGGAAAAAAAAGAGCAGAAAGTAGCAGATAAAACACATGACTTTGGCAGGAAATGTATTGCTTTTACTTTGCTAAATTTTGCTGATGGCCATCCTGTATCTCGTAAAAGATGAAAGAGCTGAGGACAGATTTAGAGTCCGGGGATGAATGTATCATTTTCGCACAACTCTGTCTTCATCTGCCTCACAAAATGTCTGTCAAAAAGGTCACCAACATATCAGTCTTTTGCCATTTGACTGACGTTTTTTTCCCACCAGCACCATAAATGCCTGTAGTTTCGTTTCCAAGACAGGCCTTGAGCCTTATCAGAGCAGTGTTACTCTCAAGTTCAAACCAAGATGATACACAAAAACTTAGCATTTCCTGTACAAGGAATCCACCAGGCACATCTTTACAGTAAGTGTTGGGCACACAGTGGGAGGCTTTTACCCTTATCACTGCTGGAGCTGGAGATGAGATGAGGGGGGGGTGGAGAGAGCGCGAGCCAGACAAAGTTGAAGTGAAGCAGGGGGGTTCAGGGAAAGGTGAAGTAAAGGAAATGAATACCGTCTGTGGGGAAGTTGCCACGTGACCACGCGATAAAAACCACAGGCCCAAATTATACTGTACCGCACAGAGAGCGGACTCCCCCTCTCTTCCTCCCTCAACTGCTCATCCTGTCTTTCATACACATTTTTTGTGGTCAGTCTCTCATACACCCACTTATCCCCAAAGGACACCTCACCTCACACACTTTATCACATGAGAGTTCAAGTAATACAGCAGGAAGGAAGATACACAGAAGTACACACACACGCACACAAAAGACATACACAGCCTCCAGATACACACTTCACCCTATGGCTCAGGCCTGAGACCTTGGAGATGCTTATTTTTAGGTACATGGAAGAGGACATGCGCCGCAAACACACACACACACACACACACACATACAGGCACAGACAAAAACAAAAGTAGTTATTGTATCACTCTTGACCTTGAGTTCAGCCCCCCACCCTAAAGGGTCACAAGATAAGTTGGAGGGGTCACAATATGATTATGAAAAAAAAACATGCACAATGTATTTTCTATATTTTCTCAAAGTTCATCTTTTTCCCCGTGAAATGAGGAGATTTTATTTCCTCAGGTCTGTAATCATCATTAAAAAGAAACAATCTAAAGATATCACACTGCTAAGAGCTCATTATGCAAACTGTAATGAAGGGTTGCGAGTAGAGGCAAAGGCAACAAAAAAAAAAGTTAGAGGCAAAAAGGCAGAAAGGTTGCAATCCAGTGCCACAGGCAATGGACATACACAAACCCACTTAATATGCGACCCATAACACACATTTACACTCATATCATTAATATAAAGCTGAGCAGATATAGTGCTTCCTGCCCACACATACTCACTGGTAAAAACACAGAGTGGAAGGTGTTCACACCCTCACATTTACAATTATGATGTGTAGTGTGCCGACATGTACAAACCTGTACTGACTGCCTTCACAATAAAGCTGTACCACTCAGTGGATATTTACACAATGACTTCAAAACCCCCCAAAAATAAACTTGTCTGAACATATTGTGCTCCTACTCCCTTGGCAACTATTTATCAGGGATATAATGTATGACTCAGCACCCCCCCCCCCCCCCCCCCCCCCCCACACACACACACACACACCTTGTGACACAAGTGCAAAAGATGTTATCAGCACTTACATTTTTTTTTCTTTTTAGAGCCAAAAAAGGAAAGCTAGCATATTGACCTCTGTCATGAAAACTAATTTCCAGTTGAGATAATTCAGTGCTTGAAATCAGGTATCTCAGTGCCCACAAAGTTACACGGCAATTACTGTAATGACAACATCATGGCAATACTTAACACAACAACAATATGCTTTTAAGCTGTCATTACTGCGAGAATTGCAATGTTGTTACACTGCTGCACGAACACTGCAAATTTCAGGGTCAGAGAAAAACCAGGAAATTAAAAAAAAAAAAAAATCAGGGAAAGTGCAGACATACAGAAATACAAGTGAAAATATGTTTTTTTTCTCGTCACACTTTCATGTGTCCGTTATCAACATGCATTTCACGTCAAGATTGACAGCATGATTTAAATGGATCACATTAAAAATGCATTTCCATGATGCACTTTTAAAATCTGATTTCTCCGTCTCTCGCAGAGCTGCCGCACTTCCCCTATTCACATCCTTTAAAATGTGATAGTTAACACCTGGTTGAGTACCTGCACTATCAATCTGTGTGCAATTTCTGAGTGCAATTTTGCAGATTGGGAGTGAATTGCATTTGTTGGTGGTTGATTGTGGACAAATGTGTCTCCAACCACGTCCGGAGGTGGCTTTATTTGACTGGTTCTTCTCTGCCTTTCTTGGTTCATTTACACCTGGGTTTTATGTGCTTCTTCTCCACCTGATTCCAATCTGATGTCTGTCCCTAAATCACCCCCAACCCCCCTTTTCCCTGAATCCTTTGCTGCACCTTATCTCCCTCAGTCCATCTATCCAAATTTTCTTTATTGGCATGACAGGGCTGGTGGTTGGCGACAGCCATCGTCACGGTGGAACAATGCATTGTGATGGTGATATTCATATGATAATGCCATCAGACTTAACACTGCTGCAGATACATTTAGATAGCCAGTCTCCTCTTTTCCTTTCTTTCCCCTCTCTGTGTCCCTCTCTGTCTGTTTGGTTGTATATTTCTGTGTGTTGACTTTTCAAATGATTTTTAAATCTGTTGTTCTCTCTTCATGTTAAGCCCCAGCCTGCCACTCCACCACTCTGATTTCTCTCCTATTCTCTGTTCCAGCATGTCCGTCTCTTTACCCTTTCTATTTTTCTCCCCCGTTTCCCCTCAACACCATGTTGGCAATCACATTAAATCATTTTCATTCACATGGCTTCTGACAATGTTTTTTTTTTATGCTGCCCAGTTTGTAACTGCACTGTATGTTTCTCTCTGTCTCTCTCTTTCTTTCTCTCTGTCTGCCGCCTTTCTCATTTTTGCTCTTCGCCATGTTGGCAGGGCCCAATCTACCAGCTGATATCAGCATTCCCTGGCACTCTGCCAACTGGCAACACTGCAGGAGAGAAAGAAAGAGAGAGGGAGAGAATGAAAGAAAATTAGTGAATAATAGACGGAGGGAGGGAGCGAGAGAATGAGAGGGGGATGGGAGGAGTATGAATCAAGGAGAGAAAGACAGAAGGGAAAGGAAGACAGGGAGAGAAAGAACAATAATGGTGGATTAAGAAAGGACTCTGTGTGAGCGTGTGTGTGTCTGTGGTTGTGTGTGAGTGTGTGTGTTTATGTGATTGATATGGTGTGATATCCCTGTGAGTCATAGCTGAGCTAAAATGTCAACTGGCTACATGAGAATCTCTTTGTCATCCAGGCTCAGTGACACACACACACACAAAACACACACACACACAAACACACACATACACAAATCCAACAGATCATATAAACACATATGTGACCATACCGCCGCATGAACACAAATATGGGCGACACACCTGCGAACACAGATGTTCCATTGTTTTGCCACAATGATTGATGACCTTTTGTTTTGTTGTGGACGCCTCTGCTGCTTCTCAACTCCACCAAATGATGGACAAAAACAGCCTATGTGCATAAATCCAGTCGAACAGATGCAAACTGCTGTGCACTCAAAATATTTGGATGTGTGAGCGTGCTTGCCAAAATGCTTGTGTGTTGAATATGCTGTATATCACGCTTTACATTTTAGCTGACTCTGTTATCTACGGTGACGGTTGCAGTACAGTAAACACAACAGTAGAATAAGCTTACATTTGTAGATTACTTAAACAAGTCATGACTAAGCAGTGTATGGGTCAAAGCACCACACCCAGGCAGTAGATTGAGAGATACTGATGTGCATAAGTACATGCATACTGTATGTGTCTGTCTGCAGTCGTGATTTAAGCAAAAAGCTGCTACTGTATGAGTGTACAGGAAGGGCGTGTGGGGAAGTCAAAACATCGCGCGCCCATCCTGTTTGGGACAGTCCATGTCCTGTGGTGCCCTTAACTCCTAAATACACACGGACACCCACGCAGATACAAGCTGATGCACATTCACACTCCGACTAATCATCCCATATGTGCTAACAGTATGCCGGAGTGCATAGTGAGCACTTGCAGGACGTAGAACAGGTGTACACCTGTTACACATCGAAGCGCATGCATACACCTAAGCAGACTAAAGAGTACATGAAGATCAAAATCAAATCGGCTTTGTAGTTAACATTTACATGCATTAAAACACAACCAGTGCTATAATTAGTGTGCATTTGATTGTATGCTTTTAGCCTTTATGATGGAATGCATTCAAAGAATATCAGTGCAAATTAATGTTTAATCCTGTTTGACAAAAATCTGCTACCTGCAGTTCATTGCTCAATATTTCAAAAGCATTTACGCCTACATTGACACAGATACTGTTAATTTACTCAAGTCTTTCGTTAGATTACAGCTACAATAATGTGCTAAAATGTGTGTTTTTAAAGGATTTTTGATTGCAAATAACTCATATTCAAGTTGAGTTTCTCATTTATCATCATTGATCATTAGTTTGTTTTTGTCCCCAGAAAATCAAAGGAGGAGGCTGCCACAGAAGTGTGTCCCCCATCAGCCGAGACACTAAAGAATGGCATAATATCACACACACTGCTGGTAATTCTTTACTGTTTGCATACTTACTCACATACTGTACATACAATTTGCATTCACATACAGACACATGAACCTGTTAGGTTAATGGTAAACAGTAAATGGTCTATTTTTTTGGCTGTTTTCCAGATCTGGTCAAGGTCAAGTTGCAGTTAAAGATAATTATGCGCAACATGCAAATTTAACCTTTCCTCTACGTTTTTAAAGTTGTAACTCCTCTAAAGTCATCATCCCACTCACTATCTGTCTGTCTACCTTTCTCTCTGTTTTGTACTGATAGAGGATGGATTCTCCGCCAGAGTGTGTGTTGTCTCTTTCTTGTGAGCAGCCCCAGTCTCCCCCAACATTGCCGTCCCTGGACCACAGCCCCCAGGCGTCATCTCCTCACACCCAGCTCTCTCTACCTGACAGCCCTGTCGTCCTGCCCATCCACAGCCCCGAACCTTCTCCTCAGAGCCCAGACACCACGCCTTATTTCCCCCTCTCTCCCTTCCCCCTCCACGAGGACAATAACAACAATCACCACGATGTTGATGAAGAAGATGACGAGGAAGGGCTGGATGGAGTTCCTCCATCCCCGACCCCAGCAGTGGCTTTGTTCCCAGGAGGAGGGGGACAAGAAGCTGGATGCAGCCCTTGTTTGGATACCTCTCCCCCAGCTACGCCATCAGCACCACTCCTTGGGTTTGGAGCCCTTGAGCTGGCCCTCTCTTCAGGGCAGAGTGGAAACTGCAACGACGAGCTAGACCTCCAGCTGTTCCAGAAGGATACTGTTACCAGGGCGATACCTGGAGTGGGAGGGGCCTCATCAGGGCCTGCGCTGAGGTTTCCCTGTCACGTATGTGGGAAGAGATTCCGATTCCAAAGTATTTTGTCTCTTCACGCCCGAGCTCACAGTCTGGACAGAGACCGCCGGGCTTCAGCTCTCTACCGGACTGGACTCCCCTCAGCACCCCTAAAGCAGCAACTCAAGGTCCAACAGAACCACAAAGACATAATCCAGAATCACAGAGGTCACACAAACCAGCGTTTACTGCCAGGGACTCTCATCCAGCATCTCACAGAAGAAGAGGATGTTGATGGTGAGGTCAAAGGTTTAGATGAGGGCCTACAGACAGACCACAATCCAAACTTTTTGCTGGATGACAGCACACCATTGACCCCTCCACTGACAGAGGATCCTGTTTCTGTGACCTCTCCCTATTCTTCTACCACTGGGGAGGGCGCATCTACGCCCACAGCGCCTACATTTCGCTGCCATGCCTGCAAAGGAAAATTCCGCACAGCTTCGGAGTTGGCGCGACATGTCCGCATTCTCCACAACCCGTATAAATGCACTCTTTGTCCTTTCTCTGCCAGCCAAGAAGAGAGCCTGGCATCTCACTTGCAGGAGTGCCACCCTTCTCCTGAGGTACCTGCTCTACCGCCGTCCTTCAATTCCAGGCCAATTATTGCGACCCCCGACACCCCTGTGCCCACACCGACCCATACCCCAGCCCCAGCACCAAGCACCCCACAGATGACATCAGCTGCTACAGGGGCTGCAGCCTCTTCACTGCCAGCATTTCGCTGTGATACATGTGGACAGCGCTTTACCCAGTCTTGGTTCCTCAAAGGACACATGCGAAAGCACAAGGACTCCTTGGACCATAAGTGCCAGGTATGCGGCCGTGGTTTTAAGGAGCCTTGGTTCCTCAAAAATCACATGAAAGTACATCTCAATAAGCTTGGGCTGAAAGCTGGACTGGGAACTCTTGGGGGACCAGGTGCTGAGCAGCAGGCCAAAGGCTCTGCAAGTAATCAGTCTCTGAATGCCCTCTACTCCAGCCTCCTTCTGGCCCAGCGAGGAGGTGGCAGAGGTGGACAAGGAAGGTCAGAGAGAGACACTGGAGGCAGAATGGGTATGGGCTCGAGCAAATCAGCCATCCTGGGCTACCTGGGGCTGCCCAGTGATGGTAGTGGGGCCAGCTGCATGGAGAGACTTCAGGCCGTGGCTCAGGTGGCAGAGATGGGAAACGGTGGTGGTGGGATTAGCGGCCCAGGAGGAGGGGACCCAGGAAGAGGAGGGGGAGCGGCAAGGGGCACAGGTGACACTGCAGCATCGGTATCTGAAGGAGGGGACCAGGCAACTTGGTGGCAACTGGTGGCTCGCAGCCTGGCAGTTGCTCAGCAGCAGCAGCAGCAGCAGCAGAGACCCCACCAGCGAGGCCAGCAGCAAGGTCAGCGAGGCCCGAGTCGGAGCTCTGTGATCACTGAGGCTGATCAAGTCAGAGCCTACCTTGGAGGCCTGGATCCAAGGGAGGAGTCTGGAGGCGCAGGAGGGCCATGGGAATGCCCTGACTGCGGAAAGCTCTTCCGCAGTTTGCAGCAGGTGGTGGTTCATGCTCGCGTTCACACTCAGAGACCCCAGAAAGGAGGTGGTGGAGAGGAGGAGGGAAGTGGTAGTCGTAGAGGAGTGGGGCTAGGAAGAGGAGGCAGCGGCGAAGTGAGACAGGAATCTCAGCTACACAGCGGCGGATCCCAACAAACGGGAGAAGTGAGACAGGAATCAAAACTGCACAGTGGTGGATCGCAACAAGCAGGAACAACTACAGGGTTTCACTCAGTCATCTCAAGTTTCAAAGGTACAATCACATCCGCTTTAATCTATTTAGTCTTTTGGGTTGTGTTTGTTTTCTCACATGTAATGGTATTATTATCACAAGAGTATATTATTTTCTTAGAGCTTTTCAGTTGTAAATAGAAGCTCTCATGGGGCCCCTTCACGCCAGCTATTATCTTTACATTTTTTCCACCTTTTTCTCCACTTGCAGGAGAAAACGGTTTGACAGCAGTCTCCTCCATACCTTCAGTTCCCATCAGGGAGCGAGTGCGCGGCAGAGGGATAAAAGATTGCCCCTACTGTGGTAAAGCCTTCCGCTCTTCACACCATCTCAAAGTGCACCTGAGAGTTCACACAGGTGAGAAACTGCTGTGAGTTTAACAAACCACATTTACTTTTTTTAACCTTTATAAATCCCTGGAAAGGGTTCAGTGAGCAGCGCTACCTTCTTCTTTTTTACACATCACCTCAGAGAGCTGGCCAGCGCTAATCATAGCCCTCTACTGCAGGCAACTGAGCAGCTCCACTGGAGCAACTCCTGCACAAAGTGCCTTGCTTGAGGGTATATTAACAATGATTTTTGAGAGAGAAAAAAAATCAAGCCAGTCCAGGTAATACAACTGGCAAAATCTCTGTAAAAAGCTATATATAATGTTTTTTTCTCAAGTAATAGTGCTTTTTTTCATTTTTCTCTGACTTGATTTGCCCAAATCTAAATTGTATAAAGTGAATCTGGTTTGGCTTAGTGTTTTTTAGATAATGTATATTCCTACATTTCATCATGACATCAAGTCTATGCTCACAGATTTCTCTATAAAAAACATTTGTTGCCTTTAATCTTCCTGGGATTCACATTCTCTGACCTGGTCTTTGAAGCAAGCCAATCTATTCTGACAGTAGAGCCGAGACACGGGGCGACGAGACAGACTCTTTCAGACTGACTCTAACCTGCGTTTCCAAGATTCAAGAAATAAAACAAAAATTTAAAAAACATATTGAATTTCTGGTGACAAGTGAGTAGGACTTTAATGAAAAATGAGAACTCTCACAGCACTCACTCACACTCCTAATTAACGATCCATATTCATAAGACTTTATCAGCATGAGTCATTGTCATTTTTATTATTTGCCTTCGCTGGATGTATTTGATCAAAATCAAGACCATTTTGAGATGCTACAAATCTCCAGCAACTGGTATCTGGAGCTCATCCAAGTCTTTCCAGCAAAACAGTGCCCCAAAGTGCATTAAATGAAATCTATTTAGTATTGCCATCATGAGTGCTCATGTACAGCTGACAGGACCCATCACACCACAGCTATATTATTCATGATAGCATATATCTCTTATTCTCATGCACTATTGCGTCTCTTTGCCATCAAGTGATTAGCACATGGTCAGTAATTTGAGTGAAGGCATCAAATTATAATACTTACTCATACTCTTAATATTACGGTCCTCTTGAGAATATCATTGCCCCTTGAGACTTTTATCCCATCATTATATTTTGCTCCAGTAATAAAATCAAATTGTTCACCACTGCATGTGGATCTGCATTCATCAATAGAGCTGTGTCTGCTGTGTCTTTCTTGTGTGATCAGTTTTTTGTTCCTGTGAATAATATCATTTACGCTTTTCAAATGTAATACATATCCTGCTGTTGATATGCCTCCAGCATGATGCCCCCTCCACTTTATCATTCCCAGCAGTGTCATTTTTAATCGGTGATGGAATACTGCCATCTCCCTTTAAAACGTGTAACTACATCGCCCCCCTCAACACTGCTTTACCATACTGTACGTGTGAAAATATTGCTCCTAAAATAACACTGCTGGCCATTTTGTAATAAGAAACGCTGTGTTGTTTCAGATTATTGAATGTGTTTTTCTCAGCCAGCCATTAGCTTTTTTTTTTTTTTCAATATGGTATGAAAACCATTTAGCAGACTCTTGAAACTTTCCTGTGTAATCCATCACAGTGAACTTCAGATCTGCATTTAATTTTGCAAAATGGTTAGCACCAATGTTAAGTGTCTGCGATTTGTGGTAAATGAGCTAAAACAGTCTAATTCAATGGCCCTTCAGCTTCACCTGGGGGATGGGGGTGGACTTTCATCATTTTTCACATGACGTTGTACTTTTTTTTTTTTTTTTTTTTTTTTTTTTTTTTACCAGCCTGCTTTCTCTGGCTTTTCCATTCATATGCTGGGTGATGATCTGGTAGGTGCCAATGCCATTTTTCCAATCTTATTTTTTGTAATCCTATTTTCTCTAGGTGAGAGACCCTACAAATGTCCCCACTGTGACTATGCGGGTACCCAGTCAGGCTCGCTGAAGTACCACCTCCAGCGGCACCACAGGGAGCAACGCAACGCCTTGTCAGCCTCCTCCAATTCCTCCTCTGCCGGTCTCACCTCCACTATCAACAATTTGACCTCCGGAACCTCTGGGCAAGGCAAGCAGCGCCGATCCCAAATCAACCACAGCCCAGTCAATCGAGGCCCGACAGACAGCCCCTCCTCTCGGCCGAGCCAACAGTCCTGGCTTCTGGGGCTTCCAGACCAGCGGGAGCATCGAAAGGCCTTGGCAGCTCTAAGGGATGTTGACTTGGAGACCCAGTACAGGTATCTGTCTGGGGTGATGGGAGCCCTTTACCAAGGTGGAATGGAAGGAGGCTGGATTAGGGAGTCTCCCCCTCCGAAGGCCCCTAAAGTGTCCCGGCGTAAGCCCCTTACTACTAGCCGAATGGTTCAGCCATCAAATGACAAGGAAGGGCCTGCACCTTCAACTCACGAGGGTGGGTTTGAACCCCTGGATCTGTCCCGTCGTCCATCACCTGGCCTTGGAGGGATTGAAGAAGATGGAGTCATGAGCGTAGGGGAAGGAGGAGGTGTCGATGGAGGTGATAGTTCATCAGGGGTCAAACTGAGCCAGTGTTTGTTCTGCCCTTTCCGTACGTCCTCAGCAGAGCTGATGGCCATGCATCTCCAGGTCAATCACACCAGTAAGTCCAGGCGCAAAAGAGGCTCTTCGACTACCGTAGATGATGATGGAGCCCCTAAGGCCACCAAGCCCCGAACGGATCACTCCGACCTTGATTCCTTGGGGATATGGAGGCATGTAAGTGAGGCTGAGTCCCAGGCACCCCTGGGGGAATGGTCCTCATCCCAGGCCCAGACCCTCAACGGGCTCTCTGAGGATAAAACAGAACATCTGGATGATGTTCTTGACCACCCAGACTCCAACATGGCCTCAGTATCCAAGAATGTAAGAGACGGTCTGGGATTCAAGGAGAAGCTGGAGATGGAGGAGGAAGACCAAGAGGAGGAATTGGAAGAGAATTTGGAAAACAGCAGTCTGGAGGATTCGCAGGACCAGGATCTGAGGATGTCCCTCGTGCTTTCACCAACCCCGAGCTCCAACTACATGGTAGGAGAGGAGGATAGAGTCTTAACAGATTAAAGCTATTATGGATAACACCATTTAAATGGGAGAGTTGGGTTTAATGTTTTCAACTACATTTGCCACAAAAGAAGAAGAATAGGTGGGAAGCTTTGCAGAAAGAAAAGGGTTTTAAGGTTAAATGAAGATTTATACTTTAATTTCAAGAGAGACGTGAGGAGTCTTGAAAGCAAATTTCAGAGGGGTTTGAAAAGGATGGCGACGAAAATCACAGCTGTTATGTTCCCTCCGAAATTATTTGTCTTCTTCAGTTCTGACAGTGTGGTCCACCACAAAATACAGTGAACTTCCTGTACAAAAGAGCATGGATGCATCTTTTCAGGATTTTGTAGGCCACTTTTTCTATTTTTTTTTCAACCTTCACTCCAAGATGGATGATTTTTAAGATGATCTCCTATTTGATAAATGAAAGAAATAGATCTCGGGCAGAGCCTGCATCATTCCAGAGTGCGTTGCAATGCATTTATTCCACACTTTTAATGGACTGTATCTCCCAGACTACTATACTGACCAAGGTGAAGCCAGCTGTGAAGAGATGCTCTCCTGACTGACCATTGAACAGTTTGAAACCTTAAGCTTCAAGTTCCTCCTCAACCCATGCAGACATGGAGGAAAGATTAGTCTAGAAACGTTTCAAGCTGTGAACCTCAGCTAAGCTATTTGGTATTAAATTAAGGCATGAGGTAACTGTTGCAGGCCATGTGCTTTCTCTCAACTGTATATCACTGCCTTGTTTGTCTGAAAAGTGTTTCTAGATGATTGTCCTAAAGAAAAACAGAAAGAAAAGTTTGTAATATTTTTTTTTTTTTCAGTTAGTGCCTGTTCATGTACTGTATGTTATCAAGAGAGTCTCTGGTATTCCTGCGCATCAAGGCTCTGCTAGGTCATTCATTTTATCTGAATATACAGTTTAAAACAATTTAAGTACAGTATATTTGTTAAAAGTGGTTCTAGGTTGTTGTGAATAGTTAAGTTGTAAAAGAAATGCTACATCGTAGCGTGATGTCCTTGACACAGACGGCAGCCGTTTGTGGCTCAGCCTAAAAACAAAAACGTAGGTGATGTATAATGCAATGAAAGAGGTCAAAGGCTAAGCGATAAAAAAAAAGGGGCCACGGTTCAAAATTCAGTGTTTACAGTGGTGCCGGATGTGGGTTGGGGCTGCCAAGGCAACTCAAGGTCATCGTAGACTTATGGAAGAGAACAAACCACAGAGCGGGAGTCTGTTTGAGGGCCGTAGGGACGTCGCTCGAGCCCCCGAACACAATCAACTGACACATCGTTTTAAAGAGACTGAGACTTAGCAACTGTGTCAAAAAAAAAAAAAAAACAATTTAAATTTTTCTCCACAGGAGAGAAGATACAAGGTAGAGAATGAAAAAGAAAGCAGTATCCCTGACAAAGAGGACTAAATCTGAGAAACTTACTGTGCTCTTGGGGTACGGTGTCTTTTAGATGAGTAGATTCCCTCTCTTCTTTTTTTTTTATAAGAAAAGAAAAGACAATGGTAGGAGTAATTATTAAAACACTAACAAATGCATAGACATCCCAGTAGAATATGTGTAGCTTTTGTAAAGACAAGAAAAAAAAAAGCAGACTTTTGTTTATTTTCATTTCAAGATGCTTACAGAAAAAGGTTATCAATATAGGTAATATTGATTATAATGTTTGTGAGCTAAGACTAGTTGGAATGTCTATACAGAGCACTGTGCAAGGTTTGAGTTCCCAAAGTAGTTGTTTTTATTTTGACTTTATGGATAGACCAAACATTTTTTCAATGGAAGGTGTCACTTTCTGTTGTCTTTTTTAAATGTGTAAAGCTGTGGTTTCATTAGATTTACCCCATCGATTAGCAAGATCGGTCAATCGGTTGATCAGTGTATCAGACATCCAACCCCTGAACTGGTTGTTAAAGAAGGTTCAAAATCAGTTTTGCAGAAACACAAACACACCTACTGCTATAGATTCAAAAATATCAATCTATTATTCTTGTGGCTTGAAGGTATATTTATGGAAGAAAAAGTGAGGTAGTAATATCCCCTTTACGCTGGCTAACAACCATTATTTATCTACTTAGACTACTTTTTGATGGGGTATCCTTTGATTGCAACCACACCTTAATGTGCATTAATGTGTCTAAGTTCTTTTTAGAGCACCTTATGAGTTTTGTAGTGAAAGTCCCTTAGTGGTGTCTCCTTAACAACTACTGTCAATGCCACCGTGCCTTCTGTTTCAAGCACTTCCTGGTGTATTTTGTAAAACTCACCAAAAGCACTTAGCCTATATCTACACACTATCTATTCTTCCTCCCTGTCTCTGTCCTTCCACTGTCCTCCCTTTCCCCTATTTCTCTTCCGCTTCTCCTTCATCACCTCAGCCCATTTTCTTAATCTTTTTCTCGTGTCTTTACCTCCTGACCCCTCTCTCCTGGGGGAAGGTGTTTTCATGCCATGTTTCTCTCCTACGGTTCAGGCCCGTTCGGCCTTAAACAAGGTCACTAGGCCTTAATTACAATCTAGCATGGCTAGACTCTTGAAAGAAAGGACTACCTAACCCTTAGACAAGTAAAAAATCATTATAGATGTAGGGTTAGACTACTTTTGGTCTTCATACTAACCCTTGGTAAACCAAAGCCCAAGTCTAAGACTAATGAATATTGTATTTAATCTCATGAGGTGCCAAAACATGTCCGATGTGACTCTAAAGCATGTATCATCTTGAGAAAACACAATAATTCACCTATCCTCTCTTTCCTTTTCTGTCTTCTTTTCCCATACTTTCTCTTCAGCCCCTTTCTCTCTCTCCTTTTCTCGCTCTTACGCTTGCTCTTCCTCCGTGTCCCTCTCTCGTCCGTAAACTGTCTATCTCTAGCACCACTTGAAGGTGACGTGTACTATCTGGTATTGAGGCCTTTATTAGATTTTTATTTCAGTTTGTGTGGTGTTTGTTCAATGCCGTTGAGATGGAAAAATGCTCTTCTTATAATGATAATTATTATTGTTTTGGCATTATGGTTAAAAAAAAAAAACAAGAAAAAAAAACAAGAGAAATGTGTTGTTGAATGTTGTACAGATAGCACTAGAGATGTTGTGTTTTTTTAAAGAGAGCACAAACCTGAGTGATGGTCCCTTCCTCTCCTCCCATCGGCAGACGGGAATAAAAAATGCCTGCCAATCATCCTAGATGTCAAATGACAAAACCCCCGAGTGGGGACAGATTTCCAAAAAAATGTGCAGAGAAAATTCAGAGAAAGGAAATTCCTCTCTGAAAATCTGAAGCAGCACTTGAGCCAATCATTTATTCTATTGAAGGTATAATTTAATTTGGGGGAAACTTTACTATTTTGTCTATTTACTAAGTGTTTTGCCCTGCTATGTTTCTGAAACAGATTTTAGCTCGTGTGGAATCAGAAGAAGCTTCTCTAGAAAACATGTGAAACTCATTATAACATCTTCAATGGTCTATCTAAACCATCTGTTACATGAAAATGTATCTATAAAGTCGATCATTTCTCTTAAAGAAGTCAGATTATATATACATCTGTTTTCATGTGCCACCTGACACACTGGATTTTTAGATTAAATTGTTCCAAGCTATCACATAATTATAATCACTTTGTGTGCTCTTGCGAAAGCTTTTAAGAAAATTTCTCAGTGGTGAGGGTTTGTTTCTCCATTTGTTTTTTTTTGAGAGGAGCTTCTATATGAGACATCTGACACTGACATCCATTAACTGAGCAAAACAAGGGTGAGCTCACTTCATTCAGTTCATGAAAATACACAAAAAGGCATCCTTAATTTTATCTGAGTCTGAGTTGAGTGGGAAGAAAGGTTCAAAAAAAAAAAAAACAATTCTCAACAAAAAAAAGAATTCTCTCTTCGGATTTGCACATTCTTTCAACTGAATACAACTTGTGTGAAAATGTGAAAATTGCACCTTATTTCCTGATTTTGAATCAGAATATTTCACCAAAAGGATACGATTAGAATTTAATGGCTAACAGAGAAGCTGTTTCTAAATACAGCGTTTATTCTGTGATCATATTGAAGAAGGTTTTTTTTTTTGGAAAAAATGACAAATCTTTGTGAGGCGAGGGGGCCATGCTGGGTTTGGGCTCTTGTGTAGTTGACTGCCATTGCAGTGAGGGAAAACTGATCTAACATAGTAGTGACTAATATGACTTTGTGGACAGATAAAAAAAATAAAAAAAATAAAACACATTAGAAATAAATAAACACAAACAAAAATAACCCAGTCTCTCTTTCTTATGTCTTTCTGCACCCGATGCCATTTCTCTTTTAAGATTTAAATACTGACATAATCTGAGATGGTAAACACATCATGTGACTGCATGAAACACCAGACGTCTTGTTTATGTGGAGGGAAGTTTGGGATGCTGCAGTACATTCCACAGTCTGAATCAAGCTGCTCCACACTACACTGCTTGTTTCCCAGCGAGCAGAAGTAACCACAACTTTTAGAGAAGAGCTTTAAAGCCCTCTTGTGGCTTTAAGCAGAACTGCATGGAATTGGGGAATTTTGAAGGACTCTACTTTCCTCCCCTACAGCTTGATCACTCCAGTAATGTTTCTGCAGTACCGGAGGCTGCAGTTTCAGGACTCTCAGGACCGCAGTCCTAAGACCGCTACAGTGCCACCTAGCAAATTGGTGAGGGGTAGGGGTAGGGGTAGGGGTAGTAATCTGCGCAGGTTTAGAATATACTGGGTTTCCGGTACCGTGGCAGGGTCACCAAAAACTGAGGTCCTAGAAATGAGATATCCGTCTCCAGGTCTGCGGAAACATGCTACTTGCATGATCGTTGTCTCTAGAATGAGGAGGATGGTGTAATAACTTAATGTTGACACTACAGAAGAGGGGAGAAAGTCGACATGTGGATACAGAACAGGCAAGAGAAAAGCTGAGAAAAGTTTATGTGTAATATCTGGATGTTATGCATGTAATGTTACTAATTCAGGAGTATAAAGATGTAATGTCAGCAGCAGTTAGCAGCTTAAACTTGACACTAACTAAACCAAAAGCAAGTACAGAAGGTCCGGCTCAGGGGACCCCTGACCTCTTGAGCCCCTGGGCTCCGGTCGGGTCGGCCCATTTCGTCATCCATCTACAGTATGTACCTCAGCCATTCTTCCCAAGTGCAACACAAATGTTGTTAACTGTAAAGACCAAAAATGTCTTCAGGCATCAACTAATTAATTACTGCCTAATTATCAGTACCTGGGGCTCCCAACCAGGAGCTGATTGAGATTTCAGCATGAGGGTTCATATCACGAAACGGCGCCCTCCAGTGGAGACACTTATGATAGGGTTGACATAACCAACTCCTATTCTGGATTATTATAACTTCAAATGAGGTCATTTTGAAATGGCACCAATAAGATATAATTACATTAATTACACAGAGCCACACAATACACTGCTATTGTGGTTGCCCTCAAGAAATGAAGCTCAACCTGAGTAAAGTCAGCAGAAGGCTCGCACAAAACCGGACGTCTTTGACTTTACCTTCAAAATAAAATTGAAAACGTTGTGGTTTTTCAAATTAAAAATAGCAGTATATATGATTATGCCATTAAAAGTGCAAACAATAACAACATTATAATGTGATGCCGATTTCAACTTCAAAATATAATTAAGTTATGCTTGTGTGATATAACAAATTGAATTTATTGTGAAATTCATGAAAGAAAATCACACATTAATGTCGCTGGCTTTTCAAACGGGGGTGATAAAATTAAATCACTGTTGTAAAAAAAAAATCAACTCTGTTGCGGAGGGTTTAGTAAAAGGTGCAAAATCAGACCCAATCTTTTAATTTGTTAATTTATAACACATTTGTCTCTATGAAAATCGTTAGTCTATAAGAATACAAAGGAAAATAAAGAAATATGCTAAATATAAAACATCAATTAATACTATTCCGTGAATGGCAGAGTTAAATGCTCCAGGGTTACCTCTCTTATTATGTACCTATTAGCCTACATCCCTGTACTAGGCCAATAGTCTACTCCCTGGTGACTGGTTGAGACTGAGTGGGCGAGACAGAGCGAGAGAGAGAGAGACAGAGCGAGAGAGAGAGAGAGAGAGAGAGAGAGAGAGAGAGAGAGAGAGACAGAGAGAGAGAAAGAAAGAGAGAGAGAGAGATCCTGTTGCCCATAAACCGCACCGTTACAGGCGCTAAAGCTTCCTTCCATCATCTGTACCGGAGGACAACTGAGCATCACTTCACTCTGTCAGCCCGCCGCGTCCCTCGGTCTCGGAGCATCCACCGGCAACAAGACCGTCTCATCCTCCT